TCGTTTATATATTTGAGACTGTCAGCGATTTCATTTATATTCTTTATAGCCGCTATCATTTCAGAGGAGCGTATGAGTGATATAACGTATATATCAATATCATCCTCACGGCATTATCAGGTAGGAGAGATAATTATTTCTTTGGCTTGCATTTTTACTCGCGGGTTCTCGTGGACCCTTGAATCAGTCGACGTTGAGTTGTTGCGAAAGTCTCACGTCATACACGTTGAGTGATCGTGAAAGTAAGTTCATCAAAATGCAGTGCATTATTTGTGAGAGAGACTTTGTGCCCAGCACGTGTGACAGGTGTTGGTGCAGATACTGGCTGCGAGCAGCCAGACGCCGCGCGGCGTCGGATCATGCGGAGTTTTTGCGGACCCAAGCGAGGGCGAGGACGCTTCCGCGGGAGCAGGCGAGCCTGCAGGAGCATGCGAGAAGCCTACCGGTGGAGGGTCCGCGCGAGGAGGCGCCCCGGAGCCCGCAGGTGCCACTACGGATTATTTTGGATGTGGTCACCGACAGAAGGCAGGTTGCCTTTTACAATTAATGTGAGTATTTTTTACATATCTATCTTTCTTCTTTCTTCTTTGTACAATTTTTATAAATTGCTTCCCTTTTTGTCTGTTGCAGATGGCAACGGACAGGCGGATAATTTTAGTATATTCATTAAAATCATATTTTATATAATCATAGACATAAATTTTTAAATAAATATTTTTTATATTTTAATCATAAAAATATTCTTTTTTTTTTTCCTCTTTATCTTCGCGAACGCGAGCGATAACGGGTGGGTCCGCGAGCGATAAGCATGGGGTGGGGCCCGTGCGCAACGGTGGCGGCGGCGGCGGCGGCGGCGGCGAACGCGAGCGGCGACGGCGGCGGCGGCGGCGGCGGCGAACGCGAGCGGCGAGCGCGAGCGCGGTTCCCCTCTCCCCGCGATACCCGCATCGCCGATGCGGTTTCCTCTTCCCCGCGACACCCGCACCCACAACGCGGTATCCCTCTTCCCCGCGCATCCCGCACCATCAACGCAGTTCCTCCGTCCCGGCGCATAACGCACCATCAACGCAGTTCCCCCGCCCCCGCGCATCCCGCACCTACAACACAGTTCCCCTCTCCCCGCAACGTCCGCATCCACGACCTCGCGGTCAGGCCAGCTGAGCGAGCGGCTTTCCGCGGCTTCCCCCTCCCCGCGGCTTCCCCCGCGGACCCCCCTCCCCGCGGACCCCCCTGCCCCTCACCCCCCCTCGGAGCTCCCTAGTTAGAACCCGCCTTATACATCTACTTGTATCCATTCGACGGGCCTCCTATCTACGTTCGCAGTTTCAAGTTTCTCCGACAAGACCCTCGCAATGTCTTCCCTCTCGTCTCTCGTCAATGGGTCATCATGCAAGTGCACGATATACGAAAACATAACTATTTCTCTTATCTCACTCTGTGCTTTCGCAGATACTCGTCACATTTCGTTCCATAACGATTGAAACGCTCGCACTAGTGATGGGCGATGTTAAAAAAAATCGATTATCAAATAATCGAATGTCCAAATAATCGATTATTAAATAATCGGTTGATCAAATAATCGATCACACAATCGATTGTATCTTAACAGAGAAAAATCGATTATTTATCGATTTTTTCTATCATCATCGAGAAAAATAAGTAATTAATTAGAGTTGCCGCATACTTTTGTTACAGTAAAACTGATATCCTATTGTGCAGAAATCTAAGCGGAACGCGCGGATTACTGAAATAGAAAAAGCAGAATGATGGTAATTGATCTGCGCGTTCCGGATTTCCACGCAATGAGACTTCAGCTTAAAGGTCGGAGTACTCGCAGCTTCGATCCACAGACTTTTGCATAATGTTGCACAAGGCACAATAACAATAAAGGCAACAATAAGAGAATCAATTAATCAGAGTATGAAATAAAGGACTTCTGACTGGTTGATTCTCTTATGCCTTCAGCTTTACGCACTATGCACACAAAAGATTACAATACGTTGTATGCGGTGTCACAAGCCGTGAGACATAAGATTGATCAATCACAGTCGAATGTGAGAAGAATATTCGATTATATAATAATTGGCCAATTTTTACGACATTGATGTATATTACGACGTATGGTAGAATGTCTTTATTATTTAATTAACATTGGTGTAGCGATAGAAAGTATAATGTTTCATGGCAACACTCTTCTTCCAATTTTAAGTACTCAAACGCTATTTTTCTAAATTAAATATTATTTATTTATTTGTTTGTAAAAAAATGTAAGTTATATATCTAAATAATTGGGGATCAATTAAATGTATAATTAATACATAATTGTGATATTCAAGATTGTCAATTCGTTACATTCCCTCAAATATTTTTGCTCTGGGTACGAATTGTTATGCCTCTAAGTCTGAAATATATAAAAATACAATTAAAATTTTATATATATTAGTAAAACAACATAATATATAATAAAGCACTAATAATAATAGAATATACGTGCAACAATTGTACGCAAACAGTAGAATAGAAAAGATGAAAGAAAATATATGCCAATTTTAAATGTATGATGCAATCTTTTTACTAAAAGAAAAAAATTTTTACAATTGTACAACCATACATACAATTAATAAAATACAACATACATTAAAACTTCATACAATTAATAAAATAAAACATACAATAAAGCTTTATATATACAAACATAAAACATTAAACTTTATATAAGAATACAAAATATAGTATAGAACGCAAAAAGCTGAGTTTTTTGTTAGTCAAGTGCCGAAATGTGTTCACTAAGTGAACCCAAAAAGAGTAAATAATTTAGTCGTTTTCCGCTAAGTCTATTTCTTAAGTCTGATTTAATAATTCCAGCTTTTGAAAAAAGGCGCTCGGAAGGAACTGAGGTTGTAACAACAGATAAATAACGCATTGCGATTGTAAAGAGTGTCGGATAAGCAGGCTTAAGTGTCTGCCAATGTTCAAATGGATTTTGATTTCGCGAAATAGGTGGCTGATTTAAATATTGTCGTAATTCAAGATTCATGCCACCAGATTCATCGATAGATGATACACATGATTCGATTAAACTGTCATGAACAGATCACACTTGTCCACACATCAAACTTATTAGTTTTGCTCTTACTTCGCGATTCTTGACATTCTATTTTGTTTGTGTTATTAGTAGAAATTGATTTTAATTAAATGTTAATGTATGATAAAACAGCGGAAGCAGCTCTCGATGACTAAAAATACGTTTATATCGCGGATCTAGAAGAGTTGATGCTGCAAGTATTTGATATGACTCAATTTCATTGAAGCGTCGCTGAATTTTAGATAAAATATTATCTTTGAATATAATGCCCTCAACTATTAAGGGAACGCAGTTTTTGATTTTACTTTCCATACAGTGAATAACAGGAATTACTAAACTACTAGTCGGATACGAATCACCGCTTATTTCGGTAGTAACAAATTCGATCGGACCTAAAATTAATACAATATCTTCTAAAATATTAATTTCCTCACGAGAAAGTATTGTGGGAGCCGTTTTGCACACGTTAAAAGTACAGGATATACATAATCTTTTAGTTGTAGGAAACGCTCAATCATATAGTAAGTCGAATTCCAACGCGTTGGAACAACTTGTTTAAATTTTAATATTGTATTTTCACTTTTTCCATCAAGTATT